GTATCATTAAAGACTATATAGGCCTCGAAGAACACTCACCGGCTATTCGTTCTCGTTCTGACTCAGTGAGCCTGGCAGCAAACCCGTTAAAACTCCTCTTGTAACTTCGCAATAAACGACCTTCAATCGAACTAAAATAATATATATATGTCATTATTAATAATCCTGATAATTTAAAGTAATAATGATTAGAGAATGAATAAATCAAATCATACCTCTCTCTGGCGACCTCTTGAAGAATACTCATGTGATGCGACATTGGTGTGTAGTCCACTCGAGAAGGAAGTGAACCCATGTAGATGATATACACCTTAATTAATAACAATAATCGTCATTTGTCAACATAATCACTATGTATAATCTAGAAACAAGAGATTTTGATCATTGATATAATAATATACCTGTTTATCTTGATGATCATGTGTGACTGCTGAGACTAAAATCAAGAACAACAAGACAAGGAGACCTGAGAGGAGGCTAGAGAAAGCTCCTCGTCTTGCCATCTATAGAATTGATAGATTAAAATTGGTTTCTAACTTCTGTGGAGATCAAGATGAAAAGATATTTATATATTGGATATCATACATAGACTTAAGTAAAGAAAAGAATCTAATTTCTGTTTCTACGCTTAGCTTATTGTTTTGTCTTTTGCCCAAACCGTTTTCAAAAAAGAAATTATATTTTGTTTTTATATATGTACTCGTAATCATATACCACGGGAGAATTTTATTTTTCGATGTGGTAAGTCACCATATTTTTGGAATCTATAACGATAGTAACATGTTGCGAGTTCCAATAAAAAAAATATCTCAAAAGAAAAAAAAACGAACTGAAGCATGGGAAGAATGTGTGACTTATTAGGGTTGATATTTGTGGCATGGGAAGGGTCGTCAGGATTGAGAGAGGAGAGGTCCAATAGTTTGGGGCAAAACTGCTTACGACTTTTGGAACAATTTGGAGGCAGAAGCAACAGCGTCGTCTTGAATAATGTGCCTAGACAATCTTGGTTTTGGGAATGTGATGATATTTGAGAGTGATGCAAGTGTTCTGTTTCTGGCCCATCTCTGCAGAGCTTTACACGAGACATTGTAGTAGGCAAGGACAAAAGCGACCCTCGTTTTTCTGTTTGTATGGAGAAGACAACGACCTAACATGTTTGCTGAATTCATTGCTAAAAGAGCACTTTATTTTGTGTATTATGCGGTTTTAGATAAATAAGTCGCACAGTTTTGTATTCTGTCTAATATCAAACATTCAAACGATTCGAAACATAATGATCGAGGCAAAAAGTAGAGTAATTTTCAAGGGATTGGGCACCAAACCAATCATTATTAGGGCAGAACGTTTGTGGCTTATTACAAAGCTGTTTGAATATAAGGAACTAGTAAGGCCACAAGGACTTCGATGTTTGCAGTCAAAACTAACTAGTAAAGAAGTACATGACTTTTAAATAGTTCTTCTTGAAACCTATGCAGATTTTTGTCAAACAAGTATATGAACCCACACAAGTTGCTCCAAGGAGTTACATTTTGTGTCCATTCCTAAACGGAACTGCAATATACTAGTCGAATAAGATTCAACAGCGTTATCCTTTTGGTTCAAGTGTGAAGGTAGTTAGCAGCCATCATCAGCTCTAGAGTCAGTTCAGGCTCAATGTGAAACTCAGTCTCTTTGCCTCTGTCCAAAGGTGGAACATTTGCATATCAGTAGTTAGAAAATAGACGACTATGAAAAGAGAGAAAGATAGGGATATAGAAGCAGAGAAAGAGGTAATCCGATTCATTCGCTAGATAAAAAAAACTGGACACTTTCGATAGATTGTTCCGAACATTACGAAACTAAAAGCAGCATGTTAAACAATATTACTTTCAACTAATCCTAAAGATGAATGAGAATGGGGTCAAAAAGTTTGCAATGTAAATATTTCTCTAAAGGATGTGTTTTATTTTTCCCGAATCCCGAGTGATCGGCTAAAGTGAAACTTAGATAACTACAAACGGCAATGAGGTTCTGAATAGAGAATAGTACGATGCCACCATGTTGTAGAGATCAAAGTAGGATAATGAAACCTGGAGTACTGAAGAGACCAGTAGAAGTACTGGCAGATCTTCTCTAGTATTGTGGTGCTGATATCAGGGAAAGTCACTACGCCATCTTTCGATTCCGAGAAACCACCTTCAATACAAGAAAACAACAGAATTTCTTCTTCAAATCTCAATAAATTCAGCATCTATCATGATCTAATGACATTGGACTAGCTTCCTTATTGAAATTGGGAGATTCAAATTACGTAACTGAATTTCCGATTGAGCATAATCTCTCGCGAGATTTCTCTCAAATTGAGGGAAATTCACAACTAAATCAGATTCAATTTCACCACAGAATCCATCGAAATCAAGTAAGATCAGAATCGGGATTACGATCACCAACCCTACAACCAAAGAAGAGAAGAAACCTGGAGAAGTGAGCATGCTTCGGATAGTCTGAGAAACCATAGCGGCTTCTCTGTCGATGACGAACTCGAATCCTTCCATGCTTATTAACTTCACCGTCTCTCTCATCTTCGTCGTCGTCTTTCCTCTGTTTCTCTCTACCGCGGCGTGGTTTCTTAACTCGCAGAGACCGACCGAGTCAGTTGTTGGTTGATCTCAAACTATTATGGGCTCAATTTCAAATGAAGCCCATTATGAATTATGATGTCTAGTTATTGGCCCACTAAAATCACACTCTATTTCAGCCTTTTAGCTGCAATTTATTTCAATCTTCTTGATACAAAAATTATAGGGGAAATATTAAATATCTAACCAAACTTTTAATAAGTCAGGGGAAAACAAAGTAATCTAATAGAGCTTGTAAATTAAATAAAACCTTTTAAACTAGTTTAGATTACTTTATTTAATGAGCTTGTAAAATTCTACAAATTTTGACATTTTCGAAGTTGTAGAAAACAAACTTTAAAATGAAGGAAACATAGTAACATTTATCAAAACTATAACCAGAAGTTTTAAGGGTTGGTGAAAGATGTGATTCACCTAGGAATCATACATAATCTCTTTACAAGCAAAACGAGAGATTATATTGATTTACTTTTTTCTATAATCCCAATCAGAGTACTCCAGGTTCGAGTGCCGAAACCATAGTCCAAATGAAAATACACCACTAATCTTTTTCAAACTTATCACCAAAAAAAGTGACGTAGAAATCTTTAGTCTACTACTATATAATTATCGAATGATCAATCAACAACAGAGAACAGACCATCACCAACACATGACAGAATGTAAATTAATTAATGACGTGGCTCTTATTAATTGGCTGGTTACAATGTTAACATGAGAGTCATTACCGTATCCGATAATAACTTTAATCCCATAAATACCCTTGAAACATGCTCTTGCTTTTTGTCAGCTGCCTACCATAGAATCAATCATTTATCTGCCACCTCAGCCCCCACTTTTGTCAATTTATTTAAATACGGCGTCGTTTATTTTCCGTATCAACTTGAAAAAGCCAGTTATACAAATACACGACC